TGGCTTGGCAGGGTGCCGCACACTGTCCTGGAGCTATGGCAGCTCCAGCAGTCACTCAGAACCTGGCAGCATTCAGCCCAAGCAGCCCCAGCTCCCAGACAGCCTGCGCAGCCCCACAGCAGCCTGCTGAGCCGTGCTGCACCCTTACAATGTGACAGCTCCCATGTGGGTACCAGGCGGGGGGGCCTGACCCCAGCTGGTCTGTGAGGGGAGAGGGGGCTCTGCCCCGAGTCCCCAGAGGCCCTGACTGCCACTGCTGCAGCCAGTGAGTGCAGGGCTTTAAAAAAAAAAGAAGTGCCAGGACGCTAGGGCCGGGTGGGGGATGGGGCCCTGCTTGCCACTGCTGCCTGTTGGATTCAGAGGAGATTCGGCCCAATTTGGCAGCTGAATTTCTGAATCCGAAGTGGCTGAATCAAATTGCCCAGTGATTCGAATCACCGAATTGAATCACTGTCTCTCCAAATCGGCTGAATCCGAAGCTGAATCGAATACCTGCTGCTTCGCACAGGCCTATTGACTTTCTTCTCACTACATGGACAATGAGACCTCCTGCTGTGTGGACAGTGTGCTCCCCATTTCACCTCCTGCCATACTTCCCTGTCCCAGAGACCCTGGCCACCACAGCAAAAGCAATGGGGAAAGGGGGAGGGGCAGCTGAGTGACAAGTCACATATTAACCCCTTGCGAGCTAGATGCAGTCCATGGACTGCCAGTTGGACAGCCCTGTTCTAGATGATTTTGGAAGGAAAATAAGGCCAGTTACAGTACCAGATTTATTCACATGGAATAGCCTGTAACTGTTGGGTGGCTGACAACTGGGGAAAAGATAAAGCAATGGTTTAGTTTAAAGTATGCATCAGATCCTACTGCAGAACTACTCCCAAGACAATTTGAATGTTCCTGTCTTTGAGCTGTCTGCTGACTGAGTCACTACAAGGTCTTCACTCTGTGGTTTTATTAGACACTAATGAAAAATAAAATGAGTTTGATACCTTGCTTCTTTCTAAGCTTGCATTAACTAAGGAGCAAAGGCAGTAACTGGCAATCTGACCCAGTAGTTTATCTCTTGACAAATCCAGGATAGCAAAAATATATGCTAAATTTTGCATTTATGAGCATGCATGCAATCCTGCCTCCCCCCACCCCCCCCAAAAAAAAAAGTACCATTAGCATTGCATTGTATTCTGACTTCTTGGTTTGAACTTAATTCAGGGGAAGACTTTTGAAATAGATTCACTCGTTTTTACTGATTTTAGGCACAGAAGTAGACCAAGGGTACATATGCAGCTGAGAGCCATGGCTAGTGTGTTTCAGAAATCAAATCAAGAAAAGAAGGAAACATATCAGCAGATAGATATCCTACTTTAACATCCATCTCAAAGGGTGAGGTTAGGGGGCAGAGAGAATCTGCAGTCCCCATCCTCCTCCCCCAGAAGTAGAAAAGAAGGGGCGGCTCCCAGCCTCCCCAAAGGAGAGTTATTTTATGGTTCCAATGGAATGATCACTTTCTAATTCTGTTAACTTCCATCTGAAGATATTACAGCATTTAACAAAACATTAATAAATTTTCACAACTTTCCCTTCCAGGAAGCATTATTTCCATTTTACAGATGGAGAAACATAAGCACAGAAGTTACCTGGATCACACAGAGAAACTGTGGCCCAGTCAGTTTAACTACTGAGTTTGTATCTCCTGATTTAATGTAACAAGTGCAGATTTCTGAGACAGACTCAGAGATAGCAGAGAGCAGAAAAAGCAGTTGCAGAAATAAACAAACAGGGCCCCCAGTTCTGATACCAGGGTGCCTCCAGAAACTGAAGGTGAGGAAGGTGAGCAGAGTAGAGGGCTTATATCCACAGCTTTGCCCTTTCTTCATCTTTTGTTTCAACAACAGCTGTTCATTCTACACAGTTCTCTGGTATTATGAAGTGTGGAAACTGACAAGGACAGCAAATGACTAAAATTTATTTTCTCTTCTTGGTCTCGAAGTATAGCATATGGAGTACTTTGTTCCTATTCATTTATTATACAGCACCCAAAATGTGCTGGAGTGTTATGCTGCTCTGTACTGATCACACTAACCACACAAGGGATGATGCTGCCTAGAGCAGTGGAGGAAACTATACTTCCTTGGTTCTCTATGGAAAAATAATGACAGTTTAAGAAGGAACTTATGTGAGATGTGGGTGGGAAGAAAATATCAAACAGGAAGATAGCAAAGATTAAAAAGCTTTTTAATTCTCAGCAGTGATTATTTTGGCCATGGGGATCATCAACAAAACATTTTCCCTGTAATTCCAGTGTTGCTTTCAAAGATCCAACCCCAAACAAAACTAAATTTTATAAAGGCATTGTTAGAAAACCAATTTCTTTTCAGCAATTTGTCAAGGGCACAGAATATTTTAAGGAAGTCATATCATTCAACTACTAAAAGTACAATATTACTACTAGTTAGTTTTGCTGATTTGTCTTTGTAAGGAGTACTGAAAAAGTGGTACTTTTATTAAATCTATAGTACTGGTGCAAACCTGCAACATGGTAACTGTAGTCCATGCTTTAGTGTCATTAGTTGAAATGACTTACCAACTCTGCACAGGCCTTACATTGCCATGAAGTATTAGTGGGGATAGGTCTAGTGCAAGGAAAAAACTAAAATATGACATTTGCAAATGTAATTTAAGACAAAAGTCTTGTTTAATACACACCTGAAGAGCTAATAATTAACCGAACTTTGGTAAGGTAGCAAGTCAGTCTAAGAACAAAATAAAATTATTTAAGAAATCAGTTCACCCTCAAAGGCATTGAACTTGCACTTGTATAAACCTGAACAAGCACACTGGTATTTTAAGTATACGTCTATATTACATATAGACAATGCTTTCATATATGTATAAGCTCCTTGTTTTCCATTTAGTTAAATGCAACATGCTGGTCCATGATAAAGAGGCTCTGTGACACCTTTTTTTTTTTTTTGGAAGAATTTAACAGAAATAACTCCACTTAGTGTTTGAGTGAGCAATGTAATGAAATCTGTTTGCTGTGCTAGCTGTCTCCAGATTGGGCTGTAATTACACCACAGAAGGAAGAAAGGTAGCTGAGTCTCAATCTAGATCATTTATGTAAACTCAGCCTTCTTGTCAACGATGTTCTCAAATTGCATGCATGCAAACCACAAAAATCATCTCCTATGAACAAAATAGAGACAGAGTCAAATTGCAGGCTTCTGATATACCTTATACTCTTTCCGTAATTGGACTTTAAAATTTGACACATTAAGGTTAAAAAACTTCATGTATTACACATTTATTCAGAAAAGTGAAAAACTGTACTCAGATAAATATTCTTCATTCCTTTCTGCCAAAAGATTGATGCTGAACAGTACAAATGAACATTTATTTGACTTAAATAAAAAAGTGTCACATAAACCTAGGAAATTATTTAGTGTAGGATTGTCTTGAAACAAATTGCTTGATCTGAGGGAAAGATTATTTTCCTGAAAGAGTTGAAAAAATGTCACTCTGAGCAAGAGCAAAATATTTTATACACACAGTATAAAACACAGGCAACCGCTTCTCTTAACAGAGCCAAATTAATATTTGATTAAGTATTTTAAAGCTCCTACTTACCATGCTTGACACATTTTCTCAGCAAGTTTCTCAAATACTGAAAGCATTAGGCACAGAGTAATTTTACATTTAAATACATAAAAACAGTGTGAGGAGACATGACTGCATGTACACAGATAAAAGGATTTTTCCCTATTAATTCACCGAACTGTCCTTCGTGTTGATAAATTGGTACATTAATTCTTCACTTAAACAGCTCGCTCTTTCTCGGTGGCAGGTTTAGAAAGTGTTTCTCCTGACACCTGCAGCTTCACGCCCCCCTCTGTCCTCTCTAGTGCAGGAAAACCACAGGCCACCACACTGGCGCCATCCCTGGCTATGTCCAATCAATAAGGACTTATTTCCTGTCCATTTGCTGAGGTCACAGAAGCAAGTCTCATTAATTATTTCTACCGGTACAGCCTCAAGTGAGCTGCTGGCATGACAAGTGAAAACTGTTTGACCTTTTTTCCCTAATTTTGTTTGTAGCAGTTCCAAAATATGCATGTTCATTCAACGATGTGGTAAATGAAAAAAATATATTAAGCAACCAACGCATTTAGATCTTTAGCAGCACAGGTTATATTTCCCTTACCCCTAACCAGTGCATGTCCAGTTATTTCCTGCAAATAAACAATAGATTTTTTCTAGATTTTTTTTTAATTGTATGTCATGAAAATCTGGTCACAGCATAAACAATGTTTTCTAAAGCCGATCTGGCCTCAGAGGGAGGGAAGCATTCCAGGGCCTCCAGTGCTCTGTTTCCATGGTAACGACATAGGTCAATAGCTGAAGTCACACCTTTGCCAGCCTTGATTGCTTCTTGCAACTGTTAGAAAACACATGCATAATAAAATCAGTTTTGACAATACTCAGTATACAATTATTTCTAAGATAACAGTAGGGATTCAGTATTTCCATTACCTTTTCATAAAGCAAAAAAAAAGAAGGCAGCTATTGCAAATAATTCAAAAAGCTCTTATAATATTCTCCAATATAAAACTGCTTCACTTCAACTCCTACTTACAATAGAACCCTGATCAATTGAAACTACACTACATCACTTTTACATAGCTCAAAAGGCTAAGCCTCCCAAGGATGCACGTAACAAAGAAGGAAGGTTTTTAAATATCTGGACATTTCATAACAAACCTCATCTAATAGCTTTTGTACAGAATGCTGAACTGACCTACCAACTAATCACTTATTTTCTTGTACTGGATATATAGCATTCAAATCGATTTATAAGCGTACATTAAACATTTCAATTCTACATTTCTTGAAAGCAGATTACAGATGCACACTGCATATTTAAATTTATTACAGTGGAAAAAACGAATTTCCTCAGGAAAACAGAACTTATTAAAGTTCTGTTTGCCTGAGGAAACATGCTTTTCAAGCTCTTCAAGGTTTAATAACCTTATTTTACCATCAGCAACATCCATGCGAACTCACTGTACTCAGTAGGGATGCTGAATCTGAGTATATAGTACTGTTCAATACTGACTCATGTGAAGTGAAAAATGTTTCACAGAAAGGATTGGAGAGAAGCAGTCTTTTCCAGATGCATACTGTTTTCTGGCAAAAACTGGCAGGTGCAAGAACTGGGTAAGTTATAGGTTAAATTTCCTACAAAAATAGTTTTCCATAGTATAAGTAAATGTAATCGTAAAGTGTCAGGCAACATTCATATGCTTTCAATGTCTTAACATTTTGTTGAAGCTCTCTAGAAGGTGGTTGTATTAAAACATACATATTTGAAGTCATTTTTGAAAGTAACAATACCCTCAGGACATCATTAGAAAGAAGTAAAGCAGTTAAAGATGCACTGTTATCGTTTGACTGTCCTAAAATTAGCCAGCCTTACTAGTGATCTCAGACTGACAGCCAGCTGAGTGAGAGACCAGCATCAAAGCCAGGTCTACTGGTCTTAAGTATTTGTATGTTTCCTAACCCTATAGTATCTGAAAGTCTTTCCATTTTTAATATATACTGTGTGATTTAATGGTAGTGTGTCTCTGTCACCGAGTCAGCCTATAAAACACAGAACTCTTATTAAATATGGATAAATATTGCATTTTTTTTTACGCGTGTATAAAAGTTTTTTAAAAGAATGTGCTGTGCATAAAACAACATGCTTCCCCAAAAGACTACTTTTATCCAATTATATACAGCAATATAACCCTAACATATCTACTTTAAATGATAAGAAAATATTTGGAAACCAAGACAGCATCATAAGAGTGATCCATTTTATAGGTAGTTTCATTTATATATAATGAATGACTTTTCTTATCTGAATACATGCTAAAGTGGATTCATTATCCATATTTGAGGATGAAAGCATATTATAGCACTTTAGTGTTCAAGTCCCAATTCATAAAAAATGTATCCTCTACTTAAATTAGAGATTTTTCATGCACCATGCTTTGTAAAAGAATTTCTCCTAAAGCATAAATGCACTGTATGTACAGTTCATTCAACACCTTTCCAAAGTATGTATATGAGCTATAGATCCAAAACCAAGAAGGATAATCAAATTAGATGAGAAGGGGGCATTTCAACACGGTGGAAGGGTTCTTCTGTTGACCCATCATATCAGCAAGTATCAGCACCTCGATGCAAATTCTGCTGATTTACTAAAGTCCATCAATGCCACCTGAGGTATTTCAGATCTACGGGGGGACACATGGTGAAAGAAGAAACAGATCCAGGTGTTGGGGGAGGAAAAACATTGAGGTAATCATGATTAGAGTGAAAGCTCAGTTTGAACTTGTTTGTTTTTGCCTTTGAGTTACCAATAAAGCCAAACCTCAGAAATGAGAGATTAGAAACTAATGCAGGGTCTGCATTTTGTGTTAAAGTCAAAGGCATACCACCTATAAATACGTATACATAGAGAGTCTCATGTATGAAATAATCTCAAAGCTGTTTAACAAGTTACACATACAGAAATCATCATACCAGACCAGACTGATTCATTACCAGATGTTCCAGAGGAAGGTGCAACATACCCCTTGAGTGGGAAATAACTGCATAACATGCCCATAAGGTAATCATCATCATCTTCACCCCATCAGCAATAAGATGCTATATATCTCTGAAGAGGATTTATAATCCTAAAAACATTTTTAAAATCCAAGCTTTATTTCAGGGGATGTCAACCAGGGGTACTTGAGAAGGCCCTAGGCAGTACACGTGGGCGAGTGGGGACAGAGCACTGCTATGCACCATCCTGAGCTGCTGCACAGGCGCTGTCTGCCCAAATGTGGGGGAAGCTCACTCATGATGGCTGCTGCTGCTCTGCATTCAGCCACATGCCACCTCCACCTCTGGTGTCTGGCCACTGGGAGTACACTGATCTTAAAAGGTTGAAAACCCCTGCTCTATTTATATCCACATACACAGCAGCGCTTGGGGAATCAATTATATCTTGTGGCAATGAGTCCTATGTACTAATTATGTTAAAAAACATCTTATTAGGTTTAAACACCTTTCTATTTCATTTGTGCATTATGAATAAACACAGTACAATGAGAAAGGGTAAATAAAAATATTTTTTTACTTCTCAGCTCTATTCATTTGTTATATGTTTATACATATACATATATAGCTCTCTATATAAAATAAAAATCTTACTTTTCTCATTATACTGTGTATACATATGTGTGTGTATGTGTACACACACACACACACACACACACACACTCCTACTGTGTTTCCTCTCATTAGCTTTTTCTTGAAGACAAGAGTCCCAAGCTTTCTAATCTCTGCTCAGAGGAATCACTCCACCCACCAATGAAACAAAGCTATTCTTAGATTAACACTCATTAACTGTAACAGGCTATAGAAACATCAAAAAATCAAATTACAAATTTGGCTTGGAAGTGTCTATTGGATTAGGTTAAAACTATTAGATAGTTTATCAACTTCAGATAGATAAAATCATTATCCAAATTAAACACTGAGAAAGTAGATTAGGGATATTAGCTTCTATGACCTGGCCAAAGGTGACCATGGAATTTTTAAAAACAGAAGGCAGCATCTCATTCAACAAATAGCCCCATCAGTAGCACATTGTTTCTTTAAACCATACAGTGATATTGGTTAAACCATCTGGAAGAGAAGGCTGCTACTTGCAGAATGTGCAAAAGTTGCTTTTCTTCAGTACGTCTTCAGAGGTATCCAAATACTGACCGGGTTTGACTGCTTTGTTTGAGATCTAATGAGATCCAAGGCTGCTACATGAAGCCAGCATACAAAGCAGTTTAAATAAAACATGCCTACATAAGATACATCTTTGTTCTGAATGTTCAGCAACACAGCACTGAAAGTAACTAGCCTGCAACGCCTCACTCTTTCCTACTATTCTCTTTTGTCCTATCTACCGAACACAGCCATGTCCATATCCCCTTTTCCTGGCAGACCTCTTACATTCTACTTCCTATTTGACTCCCAGTGCCATCTGTACTACCTTCCCAAGTTGTTCTCCACTCTTGGACTCCATGCTGTTCTTCATACACCCTCAGTCACCATTCTTAGTACTATTCATAGAATCAAAGGACCAGAAGGGACCTGTAAGATCATCAAGTCTGGTCCCCTGCCATGGGCGGGAGGTAGTTGAACTCAAATGAGCTCAACAAGGTGCTTGTTCAGCCTCCTCTTGAAAATCTCCAAGGATGGCAACTGCACCACCTCTGCTCTGAGTGTGTTCCAGATTCTAGATACCCTTAAAGAAAATAAGTTTTTCCTTACGTCCAGCCTAAATTTTTCCTCAACTACCTTGTGCCTATTGGGCCTCGTCCTCCCAAGGGGTGCCTTTCTGAAGTGTTTCTCCCCTAGATTTTGGTGTTCATCCCTGACACACTCATAGGCAGCTATCAAGTCACCTCTCAGCCTTCTCTTACTCAGACTGAATAACTCCAGTTCCCGGAGTCTCTCCTCATAGGCCCCTGATCATACAGCTGGCCCTTCTCTGTACCCTTCCGAGCTTATCCACATCCTTCTTGAAATGTGGCGCCCAGAACAGGACACTACTCCAGCTGTGGTCTCACCAATGCCAAATTGGGGGGGGGGGGGGCGCTATGGTATTCATGCCATAGCCTTGTGATCACCAACCAGTCTATCTTGATTGACTGGTTGATCGTGGAGCCTCTGACAGTTGGATCTCAGTCTGCCAAAAGCTCCATGATGGGGAGCAGCAGGACACACGTGGCTGGGCTGAGCCACACCTGCAGCACCTGGGCCGGGCTGGGTGTGTGGGGTCAGAGCCCGGGTGGTTTGTCCATGAGGTGGGGGAGCAGGGCAGGGGGGGCAGAGACAGGGGCTGTAGATCCTGGGGTGTCCTTTACTTACAAAAAGTGATCTTCACCATAAAAAGGTTGGAGACCACTGCCATAGTCTCTTCCAGTGCAAGGCAAACCAGAATAATGCAGGTCAAAAAGGTAAATTTGGATTATAAGCAGTTGTCAGGCAGGGGAGATTGAGAAGAGCAAGTCTCACAAATGTGGATGAACTCTGCCTTTCATTGACAAGGGCTGGATTTTTTTTGTAACCAAGATGATCCAAGACATATGTGAGAAGCAACAGTTTTTTGGTGATAGCTTTTACAGAGACAGCTGTATAATTTGGAGAAATGTTAGACAAGCTCTTGGCTAGAAAATGCTAATCCTCAGATCTGGGTATATAGTGGAAAGTGAATTTTATGTTCTTTTCAAAGGGCACTGAATGGCATGGAAAAGGCAACTGTTTTTAGCTGCTACCAGATTTAACTGAACTTGAATCAATGACCAAGAGATTCAGATTCCACTCTCTGGACATAGAAGCCAT